CCATTTTAGTCACCTTAGCCACCTGCCACCCCTTCAAAGCATGCACTATCAAGGCGCAATTTTATAATGAACTTTTTGTAAAAAGTGGGTGAAGGTGACAAAATGGAGAAGTTTGTCTAGCCTGAATGTAGACACTACGTTAAAAATCACTTTATTTAATACATTATAATCTCGTAATTTTTACTTTTTTATAATATAGTTTATTGTTTTTATTCAGATTAAGTAAGTAGGTACCTCAGTTTATCTTTATCAATAAGATAATACTTTGAGAAATGTACATGTTTAATGCAATCTATAATATCACATTTAAAAAATGAAATTTATAATTAACTTAAATATTTATGTTACTCATCATAAAAAACGTATACAATTGTTGCGAAATTTTTAATTTTTCAAATAGCTTTATCTAATTAACTTTGAAGTTACATCTAACTGTAAATAAATGCGAAAACTTAACAAAATATAAATTTTAAAAATACAAATAATTTTAGATGGCATAACGTTTGGAACCAATTTTAACATTTTAATTACAAGACCAATTAAAGTATTTAACATGGTTACAATTTATTAAATAATAATTCAATAACTATACATAAAAAATATAATTTTTAATAATTTTTATTTATTTAATAATTTCGTTTAATGTAAAAATATTTATAGATAAAAGTTAGATATATTATAAGTGATTTTTTTATTTAAAAAATATTTTTAATAAATTATAGACAAATTTTTAATTATTGTATATCATAATATTGTAATTAATGAATTATATTAACGTGGAAATAATTTGGTAAATTGTTAATTATTTATTAAATTGTAGTGATTTTAAAGTAGAATGTCATTATATTTAAATTCTGAGCAAACTGTTATAAATTGTTAAAATATAATATAATATAATTAATCATAACAAATGGTAATAATTGTTGGATTAAATCGCCATTGGATTAGACTTAATCTTGTTTGCATCACTCTTACCACCATTTTTACCTTTGCATCCATTGCCACTTTTTTTAGACTCGTGTCGAACCACACAAATGCAGACTGAAGTCAGTGATGACATAGGGTTGCAACACGTATTACTCTATATTTGTACATTTCCCCGAAAATTCATAATTTGCCGTATTAACTTATTATAAAATTACATAATTGATTGACATTCGTGTGAAATATTTTATGAATATATTAAAATTAAGATGAAATGCATTAAAATTAAACAAAAATAGTGATTGAATTCTTAAAACAACAAGATCAGTATTACTGTTTATATTATGTAAGTTATAACAACTTTATTTATTATGAGTCATAATAGATATTAAACTTTTAACTATAAATTAAAAATTAATTAAATAGAAATGTTACCAGCACTTTTTATATGGAAATATTTTTTTAAAATTATTTTTATTTTAAGACATAGTGGACTCAATTAGTGTTGATCTTTAGTGCAAACGTCAATAAAATACTCATTAAATAGTAAAAATATTAAAAACAATTTGATGTAATCATATGCTGTCATAATATTGTTTTCATATAATGTATGATGTATTGTCTCATATGATGTAATAAATTGCACAAAACAAACGAGATCATTAAATTTTATTTGTATTGTAAAATATGTAAAATTAAATATAAGTTTTAATAAAAGTATTCATTTTAATGTAAGTAATTATTGTGTTCAGTTTAATCATAACAATATAATTTATAATGTGCTCAAAAATTAACTTTCTATTTCATATGGTATTATTATGTTTAATAATAAATACAAAAATAACGCTGGGAGTTGATAATAGTATACTATTTCGTAGACTCATCAATGAAATTTGTAAATATATTTTAATATGATAATGATAATACCATATCAGGTCATAGAATCTAATCTTGGTAAAATTAATTGCTATATTATAGTAACGTACGAAATACCGGAACCATCGGACGCACTAACCGTTAATGAATACGATATGTTAACCGACATAAAACATAATACGGACACAGCCTTAAGCCATGCGAGGGATCAGTTACTATACCTGAACAACACATTGTCACAACTGAAAGCATCGGGGGTTAAAGTATTGGTACTTCGCATCGCTTACTGGGAATTGTCTTTAAATATAATCGACGAACTGATGCAACAGTTGTTGATAGAGAGGGATGTCATCGACGAGTACAGAGTGTCCAACAATAATACTCGACCAGAAGTACAACATGTGTTGAATAAATTGACCCGTATTATTATGTCTTTACACAGCTATGTGAGAGAACGTATGGGTCCGGCAGCTATTGATGAGTTAGCATTATGTTTTAGGGTATATATAGAAAATGACCGATTTGTACGTATGCGCTTTTATCAATCTAAAATATGCTACCCTGGTCAAGAGTTTGGATTTGTGCGCGGTTTAGGCGATGGTTACGGTAGGCACGTGGTTCGCGGCAGCGACCTAAATAAAGACTCAGATGATGACGATTAATTTTACCATGCTAAATGTTTACCATGTTAAATTCCATATTCAAAATATTTATAATTATATGTATTTTTGACACAAACTATAAATCCTGTCAATTATTGAAACACTTTGAATTGTAAAATAAATTCTCATTAAATCTATCGATTTTAATAGCTATTTGGACACAACTTTAGTCATTTCAGTGTTACTTTTGGGAACAACTGTTCTCTTCTTCGGTGACATTAAATGTTGAATTATTTTTACCACAAATTCTCACTGACTTTAGTTATAATCAAGGTTGACAGATGTTCTTGGTATAAAATGAACAAGTCTCTCTATTGAAACAATTTAATTATTAATTTGTAAACTGTTATTTATACCAAAAGATTCCATGATATATACATGACTATAGTTTTAATAATTAAATAATTGGGTCAAAAAAGAAGTCTCCTGAGATACTAAATTTAGCTTTAATTATTTAACTCGAAGCTTTACATAAGTGGTTCCAAATTAAGAAAAATATTTATTAGTTATAATATGGATAATGTACAGTATGTATCCAGTATACTTTTTATATTATTTATATTTGAAGGTCAAAAATACATGATAATATTATATTTAGTCATAAGAAACATTTTGTTAAATTACTTTATTTAATTGAAAAATTAATCACGTATCTTTAAAAATTTATAAAGAAAGATCTTTTAAAATAATATATTTATAAAACATAATATTTGATGAATTATATAAAATAGTATTTACAAAAAATAATATTTTAGATATTACAGAAAATTTTCCTCAATTTATTAAAATATATATTTTACAATTCAACTTATTATAAAATATGGAATAATTATATAATTTAATAGATTATAAAAATGGATTTTTATAAAAATAAACATTTGAGTAAAAATTTATTATTTATTTTAATACTATTGTGTGAAATATACTATAGTTTATCATTTGCGCGAAGAACTGACATAACTATAGAAAATTATACAAATTCAACGCAGAATATAACCACATTTGTCGATGCCATCAATGATCAATGTAAATTTTATTTATTTTAATCATTATATTATTTAATAAAAATCATTAAAATAATTATTAAAAATTTCATTTTAGTGTCATATAAATGGCCGCCACTATCGCAAAGTGTGGATCAGTTAACCGCCGAAGAATACCTCATAATATCGGAAATGAGAAACACTTCGGATATAGCGATGAAGAGAGCGAGGAATCAGTTGTTGTCACTCAAGTCGGAGGCCATCGACGGGTTGTCTCGACTCAAGGCGTCGACGGCTCAGGCATTGGCGCTGAGGACACACTTCAAGGAAGTGAAGCACACTTTTGTCAATATACTGGACATAATGTCTGACGAGTTGTCAAACACGACAGATATATTAAACTATAATATAAACAATAATAAAAACATCACTTCATTACGCAATTATTGGCAACGCTTGGACTCACAGATCAAAAAAGCGGTTAACATCGAGACTTCGTTTATGGTATTGGCGCTCAGGACACACATCGCGAACAGGGCTTTAGTAATAATCGACAAACTAATGATTGAGTTATTGACACAAAGGGATTCACTCGATGGCCAGTATTTGAAAGCTGGCCATAAAAATTATACTAAAGTATTGGATGAGACAAAAAGTTTGGACAATAAGGTGAATCAATTGTATAATTTTGTGAAGGTCTATTTGGGGGAGACGGCTATTGGGCAACTTTCCTTATGCCCACTTAGCTTTCGCATCAATATTGAGTACCCCACAAATTGTATAGACCCGGCTCATGCCAGTGCTAGTCGTAACGATACAAACACCGCGTTAACAATTGATGATAGAACAGAATTTCGTCGACTCGTTAATAATCTATGTAAGTAGAATTGTATAATTTATTTGCATCATGATGTTAATAAAATTATTTATTATATCTATAGTAAAGTACGAATCGCCAGAACCGACGGATATATTAACCGATAATGAAGAATGGTGGTTAGATAGATTTCGAGATAGAGTATTTGTAACAGTGAGAGATGCGAGAAATCAATTGCTGGCACTAAGAAGGTGGTTGGTGAAACGAAAAGTATCAGGCTCAAACCTGTCGTCGCTGATAACACGTTACCAAAAAAAATCTTTGAAGGTAATACAAGAACTGATGAAATATTTATTGACAGATGTGGATACCGTTGACAAGTATATTGCAAATACAATGACTAAAAACTACAAAGAATGGTTAGCTCACACTAAACTAGTGGCCAATATAATAAATAAATTGCACGATTTTGTGGTGAATCGTATGGACCCAGATGTCCTATGCACTAGAAGCACAATTTCCCGGTTCGATTTAAATAAGCCTAATGAAGTAGGAGCTTGTCCTATCTTTAAAAGTATGGGTAGTCGCGATGTGTTCAAACATAATACTTTTAATAACAATGACACAGCACACAGTCCTGTTAATGGCACCGACACAGCACACAGTCTTGTTAATGGCACCGACACAGCACACAGTCCTGTTAATGGCACCGACACAGCACACA